ACCCAGTGAGTTAGAGGTGCTTACATATCCATCTTTCTGGTGCCTTACTCCTTCCAGGTTGTGGACTTTATGAAGCTGTAATGGTTTGCCTTGCATTTCAAGGATGCTTCTAATGAGCATGTGCTACCCTTGTGCATGCCTAGGTCCTTTTGCTGGTGACCTTGACTTTGGATGAACTCTTCAATGAGCTGCCTCACCAGGAGTGATGTGGGGTTCTCTCTCTCTCTCTCTCTCTCTCTCTCTCTCTCTCTCTCTCTCTCTCTCTCTCTCTCTCTCTCTCTCTCTGTGTGTGTGTGTGTGTGTGTGTGTGTGTACGATCTGGGACCTCCCCAAAGCTATCAAAGATAATCAGCAAATTCTGCCTCATCCCCTCTACAGAATTTTTGTTTCTGGAATGCCTGGAAACACAGAATTTCAAAGGCTGTGTTTGACCACGGACTAATGTATTCCCAGAAACTTGTATGTTGGAAAATATAGGACCAATGGTGGCAGTTGAAGTGGTGTCCTGTGAGAAAGTCAATGAGTCCTGGAAACTGATGCCAGAAATCACAAAAGTTACTTCCAGTAAGAAACCAGGCCTGGGGGTGGCATATGACATCAGGTAGCTGAAAGCTATTCATTGGATGTGTTCTCTATGTCTAATTACTGCCATAGACAGGACAATAACCCAGAGTGCCATTGTTTCTATGGTGGTTCCTAAGGCAGGGTGCTCTGGGAGGCCAAGTACTCTGGAGGATCCTATTGCATGAATGGGAAAGGAGCAATTCTTTGGCTTGAATTTGCATGTCTTTCTGGGGAAGCTAAACTGCAAGGTCAGCCATCTCTCACCTCCATCCAAAGCCAACACCTATGAGTGGGTAGATATTCTGGAGTCTTGGTCTTGTGGGGAGACCTGCAGATTTAATTCCCAGCCTGGAGGTTGCTGAGGTCTAGAACATTATTCTGAAGATAGCTGTGTGGTGAGTGGGTGAGAAGCAGGCACTGTCTAATCACAAATGGCTGAGGAGGCCCCCCATGCCAGACTCCTGTGGAGCAAGAAGGGGGAGGAAAATCAGAGGTGAAGACAAGCCCAGGTAACTCTAGCAGGCACGCTGCTGTCTTGTGTCCCTTGAAGCCGCTGGCAAGAGCTGGAATTTCCTGGTGACCCAGTTAACTAGAGGGATAGCTACTGACCCTTCTGTCTTAGGGGCCTTCCCCTAGTCTCATGCAGATCCTGGAGAGGACAGGAGAAACTGGTGGCGGTGCTGGGTCAGAGTGGTAGGTGACCTTGCATTTGAGTTAAAAGGCTGCTGGGAAATGGGAGGAAATAAACATAAAAAGAATGCAAATGAATTGCATCAGAGTGGACAGGAGCCCTGACTCCATATCCACCAGGGACGGCTGCATGGAGCCTATAAATAGACACTTAAAGCCCGGTTCTAAATTGAGTTCAGATGTGGGCCTGTTTCCTCACACGGAAAAGTATTTGTGTAAGGTATAACACACACCACTGTTTCCAAGCTGGGGGATTTTGTGCTTTCTGAGGGACTCTAGGTGGAGCAGGTGGGGGATGTGCTGCTTCCAGATGAATGAGACTCTGTCCTTGTCCTGGACCTCTCAGGAGAGGGAGCTCTAGAGAGAGAGGTTCCCTAGGGAAGGAGGCAGCTGCACTTCTCCCAGGGGAGCAGAGTGAGTCCCTGGACAGGCTCTGGGCTTCTCCCAGGTGCCTCTGCTCAAGGGCAGGAGAAACACAGTGAACTGGGATGATGCCAGGTGGTCTACAATGGGTGATGAGACCCTTGCTTATGGGGGGGTGAAACCTGTATGGTGGGCTGAGGAGTCCTAGCTTCCTACATGTGTGAGGGTTTTGGTTCCCCTAGAACTGGAGTTATGGACAGTTGTGAGTCACCATGTGGGTATTGGAAATTGAACCCAGGTCCTTTGGAAGACATATCAGTGCTCTTAACCACTGAGCCATCTCTCCAGCCTGGAGTCTAGTTTCCTAGTCAGGCTTCCTGGAAAAAATGGAGGTGCTCTCTCTCTCTCTCTCTCTCTCTCTCTCTCTCTCTCTCTCTCTCTCTCTCTCTCTCTCTCTCTCTCTCTCTCTCCTCCCTCCCTCCCTCCCTCTCTCTCTCTCCCTCTCCCTCTCTCTGTTTCTCTGTCTGTCTGTCTCTCTGTCTCCTTCTCTCTGTCTCTCTCTCACTCAATTCCCATTTTCTATTATGCTAATTGATGGGTACTTTGGGGGAAAAGAATCTATTTTCTTGGTCCTGGAGGAGCAGCATATTGGGATGGCCATCCATCTGGTAGCAGCCCCACGTGTGCACTCATAGCCTCAAGTGGTGAGCAAGAGAGCAAGGGTACTGTGCGTTCAGATTTCTCCCCCTCTTCTGATAACCCCACCAGGGTGAGTTGTGGGAGCTCAAGATGGCGGGTCCTATCCTGATGATCACCCCAAACCCCCACTCACCCCCAAACACCATGGTCAGAATTAGTTTCCATTCTAACTCTCTCACAGCAGAGACTAGACTCCAACACTAGTTTTGCAAAGGACAAGCCATATTCATACCTCAGCACTGGTTGGCTAGTTTGGGACCACAGAGCCACCTCCTAACTAAGTGATGAGCAAGGGGCGCCATTTCCTGGCGTGCAAGTGAAGCGTTTTATCCAGGGGGCTGTAACATGTATTCTATGTGCTAACTCCATAATCGGTTCATTTTGAAGGTGCCCAGGTGGCAAGTCTGTGCTGTCGGTGTAGCAGGGACTCTGGGATGGCAGGGTGGCTGCAGGGTTACTCTGGGCATCTGCTGGGTTTCACCTTCCCAAGTGCCTTTCAAGCACCTTTTCTTTCACCTTATTTCCCTGATGTGTATATTAATACGTATGCGTTCTCTCTCTCTCTCTCTCTCTCTCTCTCTCTCTCTCTCTCTCTCTCTCTCTCTCTCTCTCTCTCTCTCTCGTTATGTCCCCACTGGTGTGTGTGCGCATGTGCATGTGTGCATGTGCGTGCATGCGTGCGTGCGTGCGTGTGTGTGTGTGTGTGTGTGTTTGTGTGTGTGTGTGTGTGTGTGTGTGTAGACCAGAGGTGAACTTGACTATCATTCCAGAGGTGCCATCCACCATACTTTTTGCGATAGGGGCTCTCATTGGCCTGGAGCTGGCCAGTGAGTTCCAGGGATCTGCTTAGCTTCACCGCCCAGTGCTGGGATTACACAAACTACAGATGTTTGTTTGTTTGTCTGTTTATTTGATGTGGGCTCTGGGCATGGAACTTGGATCCTCGGGCTTGTGCTGTGGTTGAGCACTTTGCCAACTGATCCATCTCTCTGGGCTTGATGGTCGTTGTCTCCACTTTCATGCCGATGCTGTGCAGACTTTGTCCATGTCCACATAGGAAGCGAGCAGCCCATACTGACTGTGCTTTGGGAAGTGAGTGTGTGGCTGAAATGCCTCATCTGTGGTGCTCAGATGGGTGTGATAAGGAGGCCTCTTCAGAGAGCCAGAATCGGTAAGGCATTCAAACGCTGTGTATGCACCAGGTCTTTGGGAAGGACCTGCAGCCATGTAAGTACCTGGCCCCTGCCACCCTGGGGAGGGCACAGAGGCTAAGGGTCTGCGCATCCCTTAAGAGTCTTCTAGAGGATTCTAGTCCTTTCTCTCTGGTCATAAGGCATTTGCACGGGCCGTGTTGGGGCAGATGAAATTCTCCAACACTGGGAGGACCTGCTTCTAAGAATGTCTGTTGAGAGAAATGAGAGTCACCATCTGGCCTTGTTGGAAATGTGATAATGCAAATCTAGATCAGGCCTTGGTCACAGAGCAGAAGCCATTGTCTCCTTGGGCCAGGAACAAGACCCATTTTTTCTTCCAGGTAAATGAAGCCTGTGACCTCGGGTCCCACAGTAGGTGAAGGTACATTGCCCACACAGTGCAGGTCTCTGTGGATCCTCTGGCCTGGGCTTTCTGCCTTTGAAGGCCTCAGGAAGAGGCTTTCTAAAAGGGAACAGAGGAGCTGAGGAGATGGCTCAGTGAGTGACCTGTTTGCCCTGTAAGCATGGGTTTGGACCCTTGGGCACCCATGTAAATATCTGGGTGCAACAGCCTGGAATGGCAGAGATGGGACGATATCTGAGGTCACTGGTTAGTCTAGCCAGTGAGTGAGCTCAGGGTTCAGAGAGACTGTCTTAAAAAATAAGGAGAGGACTGACTGAGGAAGATGCTAGGTGTTGGCGTTTGACCTTCACATGCACGCACAAATGCCTACACACACATGCACACACGGGTTCACACATGCACACGCATGCACGCACATCACATATACACAAAATGAAAAGAAACAAAGTACTGTATCATTTCATCCTGCTTTAGCTGTAGCATACAGAGAGAAGAGGATTAGATACGGTTCTGAGGGCAGGTTAACCATTCTTTCCCTCCTCATCCCATTCAAGGTCTGGTCTTGAATCCCTCAAGTCCGTTGGCTTTCTTCCTCAGTTTTCATTTCTATAGCAGTCTCTGTTTAAGGGAGATGGAGGGCAGGGTCCTCTTTGGGTTACCTCATCATGGCCAGAAGGGAGGGCTGAGACCCTTGACAGAGAAAGTGAGTGATGTCCTTTCTCTTCCTGTAATAACTCCAACCCTTGTGCGGACCCCAGCCTTCTCCAAAAGTGTCACAGAACAAGGGTTCTACAACCATTGGGGTCAAGCTTTGTTGTGAGGAAATGAATATTCATGAGGTCTTTGACAAGCTTCATTAATATGCAGGTAGTCTCTCCTTCTAGAACGGAACATAAGCCATCATTATTTGCCCAACACGTTTTTCTTAAAGCAATAATTACACAATAAAATGGCTAAAGAAACATTTTAATTATTTGTTTAGGGTACTTTCTATCATCCCGTTCATTTGATTTTGCAGGTGATTCGAAACCTCTCATCTAAATTTGTGTGCATGGAAGAGCCCTATATAAGCATCATTGCATTTCTGGAATGAAGTCATTTTTTCTGTTCCTTCTGCTTTATTCCAGGAAGACTGGATCACCAGGGGAGTTTTCAGGACGTTATCAAGGCACTAATTTTTGGTAAGCAATCAGGGGCGGTCTTGCATGGAACCCGGTCATCTTGCATGGAGTAAAATTGGTCTTGCTTGGAATTACTTCTTGTTTCTGCCATGTGGTAACTGGGATTGCCTCAGCAGAAGGATACTACACCATGGCAGGTGGACAAGTTCTGTGTCCATTTCCAGGGAAATGCATGGGTATAGTTCAGTTTTCCTGAGCACAAATCTTTGAAGCTGATATTTGATTTGACTGCCAAGGTGTAGACAGACCATGAGCTCACCACTTGTCATTTACTTTGCCTGGAACTGGTCCTCATCTACCACCCATGACAATAGCAGTCTGCACAAACGCTATTGTCCTTTCTCTCTCAGACTGGTATTCCTCTGAACCCTTGTCCTCCCAGGGAATCCTATTTACTAAAGGTTGGGATTAGCAGCAGACCTGTCAGTATCCAACAGAGACAATTGCTACAGGTCCAGTGTCCTCAGTCTGAAAATTAGATGTCCCAAATGTGCAAAGTCCCAGGGTCAATCTCTAACGTTACAAACAAACAGTAAAGACAAAACCCCCCAAACAAAGTAAAAATAAAACAGCAATGACATGCAAAGCAAAAAAGTCTATGGAACATTCCCATGTCTAAATACTCTGAAATCATAAGCACTTCTAGTCCCGAGAATTTTGGATAAGGGTTACTCAGCCTATAGTCTGGTTTGAGAAGTCAGCCATTTGTGAAATTCTAGGAGTCAAGCACAAGACATCTGATTTAGATCAGAAAAAGGCCTCTTCTATCAGGTGGTTCCAGGTTGCCATCTGCCTGTGCTCGCCCTGGAGGATCTGCGGGATTGCAAAGGGGAAGGTGAAGGATGAATTCTGGATTGCAAGGGCTTATCTTCATGGGTCAGAGCTGCACCATCTGGCCTGGTGGTAGGGAACCTGATGAATGGGTTGGGGTGTGTTTGAAGAGGAGGGAACAAAAGGTAAGGGTTGTTACTGCCAGGAAGCAGAGCAATACATGGTCTCTGTGTCCTGACCCAGAGCCTTCAGAGCCTCTGCTTAGCTCCATGGCTCCCCCTGGATTCATGAGAAGGAACAGCGGCTGGACAAGCATAGACTAAAGGTGCACTGTCACTTGTGTTTAGAAGGAGAGGGAAACTTGTTCTACATGGGGAAGCTGTACAGCAGTTCTTAAGATGAAAGGAAGACTAATCAGGCCAACAGTGGGCTTCTGGAAGTCAAGGCTATACTTAGAAGCGCCGTTTTGCCTGGTTCTGGGTAGCAGAAGTCCATGGGTCATAAGTAGTGGTTTTGTTTTTGTTTGTACAGTGAGGTGACTGTCTATTCACTTTCAGCATCTTCCTTGTGTTTGCGGGACTACTCATATGGCTGGTGGGATGCACAGGCAGAACTTCCTATGCAACACATTGGACATGTTTTTGTCACAAAATGCCATGGGTGGATTGTGTGGTGGCTTTTGGCTGTGGCATATTCATAAACAGTTTGGAGTTGTAGAGCAGTCAGAGATTTTCCAGAGAACAAGGCAGAACTTCAGTGTTTCTCTGTGACTTCTAAAGGGTTGTGGCTGAGTGGTTCTGAACTTGTTCCCTCTTATCTGTTTATACATACACTGTGAATTTACCCCATGCTCTCCACAGACTTTTCACATCTTATTTGATCTTGTGCTAAGAGTCATGCACACATTTCACTTTTAACATCAAGAGATGCATCAGCCTTCTCAGCTCCGAAAACATTAGAGCATTTAGGAACCAGGTTCTGTAAAGAGGCAGGGTTTTGTTTGTAACATGCTTGTGAAGGGTGACCTTAATAATGAGGATGCAGCCTCATGAATTATTGTAAAATTCTAATGCTGGGTCATGCAACCAGGACATCCCTCCCACCCTCCAGGAATTACCCACTGTGAAACTTGTGCCTTAAAGTCTTCCAGAATGAAGTCCAGGTACATTGCAGTCAGCTGGAGCCATGGTGTGGTTCACTTTATACCTCCAAAGCACAAGGTTTTTTTCTTCCGAGCTTACAAAAACGCCTGGTGGGGCCTGGTGGGATTTTATATGATAGAGGAGCTGTACCAGTTGCAATAGCCAAGGCCCCTCCCAAGCGCTCCTGCTACCAGCAGTACGGTAACCCATCATTTAAGTGAATGTGCTCATCATCCTTCCCTCCAGTGTCCCCGAAGAAAAGCATATTCCTCCTTAGAAAGAAAAGTGGTGATGAAATGGATATTTTTAAATGTCAATTATGCCAGAATGAATGTCTGCTTGGAGAGCTGCAAAGAGAAGTGGAGGCCTGGCTTTATATCTTTTTCCGCTGCAAATGGAGCCATTTTATAATCTCCGAATACTAATGCCCATGATGCTCCCAGTGTCTTGTAGCAGAATAACTTTATAAATGCGTTCCCACTCTCAGTGAAAGTTTGAGATCCTCTTCTGTTTTTTTCCCTAGAATAATCGATTTATAATCCTCATCATTTTGTGTATGTATAGTTTGGTCTCTACTTACAGAATGCATGGAGATTAAGATCAGTGGTTGTCCTGCAGGAGCACTGAGAAGCAAGTGAACTGTATTTAAATCATGGAGAGCTCAGAGCATATGTGTAAAGAGAAGCTTTTTCCTTGAGAGAAGCCTTCCCGCCAGCCTGGTTCCAGAGCCGCATCAGTCCCAAATAAACACACAGGAGGCTATATTAATTATGAAGCTGTTGGCCTTGCTTGTTTCTTACTGGCTAGCTCTGACTCAAGTATTTATCCCATAATTGCTAATCTAAGTATTTCTCTCACCAGAGAGGTTTCCAGGCTTCCTACCCCATGGCGTTACATCTTGACTCTCTGTGTTTCTCCTTCCCAGAGTCCTCCTAGACTCCTAGTCCCACCTATCTAGATTCCTATTGGCCAGCAGTGCGTTATTGACATATACATAGGACTTCCCCAACACATATGGGATGAGGTGTTGTTGCAGTCGTGAAGATGGCTGCCTGGTAGAACCACAGCAGCTCCTGCCCCAGCACAGACGTGTGTCAGTGCTGTGTGAAACCCTGTCAACCATGTTTGGGGAAAAAAAACACAAAAAAGCAAAACAAAACAAAACACAAGCAAACAAAATCCAGACACAGAACCAGAACACCAAGAGAAGATGGCATTAGGCTGGGGCATTTCTGATGGGATGCTGCCACGATTGAGACTGTGGTATTTGTGTGGAGAGAGACACAGACACAGAAGACGCCCAAAGTGACTCTATGGTTAGATGTCATATGTGTAGGAACCGGGGACACAGTAGAGCTTTGCTGTGGTCCCGGTAGAAAAGGTTCCACCAGGTACTTTTTCAGTTATTATGGTAAGATGCGTATCATAGCTACTTTTATATCACTGTGATAAAAACACCAGGAACAAGGCAACTTGCAAAAGAGAGCATTTAATTTGGATTACAGTTCCAGAGGGTTAGAGTTTATGGTGACTGGGAGGAGAAGGAACATCTGAAAGCTCACCTCTTGATCACAGGCACCAGGAAGAGAGAGGTAACTAGGAATGATATGGGCTTTTGAAACTTCAAGGCCCACTCCCAGTGACACACCTTCTCCAACCAAGTCATACTTTCTAATCTTTCCCAATCATTTCCACCAATTACAAATCCAGTATTCACACACATGAACGTATGTGGGCCGTTCTCATTCAATCCACCACAATACCTAAGATAAAAGATTAAAGGAGGGAGAGTTCAGAGGAGAGGTTTCTGTCCATCATGGTGGAGGAGGTGGGGAGGTGGGGAGTGTCCTTCTGTATATATGTTTCTCTTATTGGTTGATGAATAAAACACTGATTGGCCAATAGCCAGGCAGGGAGGATAGACAGGGCTACCAGACCAGGAGAAGGCTGGGGAAAGGAAGGAGGAAGGAGAGAGAGGGAAGCCATGAGAGATGCCATGTAGAGACTGGGAAGATGGGAGGCACCAGGTGTTCTCTGGTAAGATAAGGTCATGTAAAAATACATAGATTAATAGTTATGGGTTGATAATTAAGACAGAGCTAGACTGTAAGAAGCCCTAGCTATCGGGCATCAGTTTATAAATTAACATAAGTCTTTGTGTGTTTACCTGGGGCTAAGCAGTGATGGGACCAGGTGGGACAAGAACCTCCACCTACAGTGGGGGAGGGCATGGCAGGTCTGGGGAGGTGTGGGAAGGCATGCAAGTTCAATTCTATGGAGCAAAGAAAGTACCAGGAGCATTAGTTTAACCTTCAGAGACCTGTCCTTAGTCTTCCAACTAGACCCCAAACTCCTAAAGTGTCTGCCACTTTCCAAAATAGTGACTGGCTACAGACCAAACATTCAACACATGAGCTAGTGGGAGATGTTTCATATTTAAACCACAACATGCAGGACAACTGATTGGTTATATAGCAAATGATAAAATGAGATTGCACCTTATAGCTTACATAAGTGAATGTCTATGGAGTGAAATAGTAAAAGTTTAAAGTATGTGGAAGACATTTTCTTCTCTTGGTCTCTCTAAAAATAATAATTAATTACACATATATAAGCATTTTAAAGAGAACCAAGAAAAAAGATAAAAGAGTTGAAAAATGGGCCAATAGCATGAAAAAGCCTAAATGGCTTATAGAGTAATGAACACTTTCTGTCTTCAATTGCCAAGTTAATGATATACCATTTCAAAACTGTATTTTGGCAGATTAAGATAAACCAAGAATGTGATGAGCAGGGGGTTGTTATGCCTTCCTTAGTGGGAGCAGATTGAGTAAAAGCCCCTTCAGAGAGCAAACACACAGCTTACAAACAGAACAAAATGTGGAACCCTATGATCCAATCATTCCACTCTTAGGTGTATATGTTTTTTGTTGGCCATGAATTAGTCAAAGTTTTCCAGGAAACCAGAAGTCATGGGATCAGTCTCAGGGTCTGTCAATATACTAATCTATCATTGGTGTGTCTTAAGATTTATGGTTGAAGGGTTTATTGCATTACAGTTATTGGCTCATTTGCCACAAGGTCCTA